CTGTTCGGCCTGCTATTCCACGGCAGGCTGGTGGGCGTTTTGCTAGCACTGGATCCTCAGGTAAATAATTTAAGTATTTTTATTTCGTTTGACATTAAAATTTCGACTTAATCGCAACAAATTATCAGTACTGTTAGTGACATTATTTCAATTATGTATTTATATATTTGTTTGTTCTATTCTAATGTAGGTACTAGCAAACGATCTAGGACTGATGATGGGGCACACTGGATCGTTAGAGGTCCAATTCACGGTGGGCCCATGGATGAGAGTGTGATCCCTAGCTTTCTAGGGCACGTAGCCTCCCGAATGTGGAATGGACAGATGCGAGACTTACTGAAGTGCCAGAACAGACAGCGAGCTGTGGAAAATCTGAAAGTTTGGCGAGGTGAAATGTCTGCCGAGGCACTTGATCTGATTAGACAGACCGGGCTGTCACATCTGGCAGACTCCATGCACGTCCACTTGGACACTCCACTGATTACTGCATTTGTGGAGCGATGGCAGCCTGATACTAACTCGTTTCACCTGCCTTTTGGTGAGATGAGCATTATGTTGCACGATGTCCGGGCCATTTTGGACATTCCTGTTGAGGGAGGTGTGGTCGTTGAGGACCCGGATTCAGAGGCATGTCAGGCTTACTGCATGGAGATACTTTCGGTCACGAAGCTTGACCTAATTGCGTCATTGTAGCAGCGTGGTTTGGTGGCCGAAGCCTCTATTGGGGAGATATTCAGGGGTAAAAATAAGTTGGCTTCAGATGAGGCTGGTGCCTGGATTTGGGTGCTGCTGGCTACCACGTTGTTCGTGGACAAGAGTGGTAGTAGAGTGAGTCCGAAGCTCCTACATGAGGTGCTCGACGGCTTGGATGCCATTGGAGGTTACTCCTGGGGGTCACCTACGCTGGCATATTTATACCGACAGTTAGGTATTGCCAGCAGAGGGGACTCCAAACAACTTTCCGGCTGCTTGACTCTTCTGCAGTCTTGGATTTACGAGTATTTCCCTGATTTCCGACCCCAGGAGGGGCGTTTACCCCTCGAACCTAACGAGTCCGCACGAGCTCGGATGTGGAACGCAGGGGCGCCTCATAGGTCAAAGGACTGTCTCATGTCGATCCGTCGGAAGCTGGACAGACTCACTGCCTCCAGTGTACGTTAAGTTATTTTATTTAGTTACTCGTTATTTAAAATAATATAAATATTCTTATAAATGCTTTTATGCCATTGTGAACAGGTGCAATGGACGCCATACAACAGCTCATGGCCAGATGAGATAGAGCAGAGGATTCTTTATTGCGGATTGATTCGGTACCGCGATATTGTCGAGCCGTAATATCCTGTACGGTTTCTGCGGCAGTTGGGGTATGTCCAGACCATCCCTCCCCCTATACAGACGCCGACCGCTGTAAACCGTGCTTGGCAGGTAGTATAGATGATTAATTAGAATTTTATACATGATTAATTAGAATTTTATAGCTCAAGTCTCGCATCCTTGTTAGCTCATCGTTCAATAAATTCAGACAGTAATGCGAGACTCTCAATGTGAAGCACGCGAAAGGCAATCCCGTATATGCCGTACTCTTCCTAAGTCTCGAAGACTCAAGTGTTGTCTTGTTAATACATTACAAAACAATTTGTTATATATAAGTATATTATAATATAATATACTTATATAATATAATATACTATACTTATATAATAATATACAAGTATAATATAATATACTTATATAAAATAATATAACAAATTATAATATAATATACTATACTTATATAATATAAAATACTTATATAATATAATATACTTATGTAATATAATATAACAAATTATAATATAATATACTATACGTATATAATATAAATTACTTATATAATATAACAAATTATAATATAATATATTATACTTATATATAATATATTTCGGTGGCTTTTTTTATTTATTATAATTATTTCATAATCAATAAAATGACACATTTCGTTTTTGAGGAATGTACCTGATTTCAGTCAATTGAGACTCGATCTCCTTATCAATCTTATGTCACACTGAATCTAGCGCGCCATTCGACGTGTGAAGCCAATTCTTCAACACAGAGTGGGCACTTTCCACCCTACAGGTAGTTGTGTTGCCAAAATGTGTTACTTGGTTCGTCCAGGATTTCACAAACTTCTCCTTGTGGCCTAGCCACGTCTGCTCGAGATATTGAACCACTTTTGAGCCATTCCCGTATTTTGCATTCAATTGAGCTACGGCAGCATAGTACTCATCCGGCGTACTAGCATCCATAATCGACTTCCACCGACCGCGCAAGAACCTCTCAGATAATTTTTTATTTTTCCCAAACAGGTTGTACACTTTGTTTTCCACATCCTTGTTGATGTGCCACGTGCAGAGTAAGTGGGCAGATTGGGGAAAATGCCTCCTAATAGGAGTCAATAAGCCCAACTCTCTGTTACTGACAACCGCATTAGGATGCACCTGAGCTGCGGCAAAAATTAGTGAGACACGCCAAAAAAAAACTCAAATTTTTTTACCATATTTTACAAAGTACTTTTATATACTAATTATTAATCATGTACTTCATATAAATCCTTACCGTATAGCCTATGAGAAGTCTCAACTTGTCCAGAACCCAATCATAACTGGCCTCTTTCTCATCCTTCATGAGGGCATACGCAATTAGAAAGTTATTGTTGCACGGCGTCATGCCAATCATCTCGACCAACGGCATCTTGTACCTGTAAAAATGAGACCAAAAGAAAAAAATTATAATCACATAAAATTTAGTCCAAAATACAAATTTAAATTAATACTAATAACATATATGTAAATTTAAAATACCTGTTGGTTTTGTACGTCAAATTTATGCCGACAAACCAATAATAAGTCCGGAATAGACTCACTGAATCAGGATGGGCCATGAATATGTGTGTCAGCGCATTTGTATTCGGATCGACATTTGTATAAACTATATACTTGCTGCTGCTAGCCAAATGTAGAAGTTGGGTAGGAACATCCCTACCCTCAAAACTTTCCTTACGCAACCAGTCTCTATAGTTATATATATGTCGCCGATTAGCATGGTCGTGTGGATTTTTTTCCTGGACGGCGGCCAAAATATTTGCTGGTGTCACATGCGCAGCAGTCATATCACGAATAATTTTCTTTGATGACTGGCTTATGCCGCTCGACTGTCGATGGCCCTCAGGATACTTAGCAAATGAATGATTATGGTATCCCTTCGTTTCGTCTTGACTCGTGTGGATCATCCAGTATGTCGATCTGGCAACACGCTTTACTTGTATCTCAAAAGGGCACTGGCACGCTTTTGTTTTTGAATGTCTAGAAACAGCTTTATTCATATCTACGTTTTTGCCTCTATAACGTTCGCCTCGATGGCACTTCAAGATCTTCAGCCTTCCGGATTTTTTGTGCTTCGAAATAGTCAAAAAGAAACCATTCAGAATTACCGTATTTTTTGCATCCTTAATAGCCTCCTCATCACTAATAAACAACGTAGTTGTATTGAAAGCGGAACGGTAATCAATACCATCTCCTCCAAAATCTTCTAAAGACACCTGCAATGTATTTAATAATTTTAAAGCATTTAAAAATAATAAAAAAATAAAAATAAAAAAATAAAAAAATAAAAAAAAAATGATGTCCGGCCGGTCGGACCGGCCGGACCGGGTTACAACCGGCCATCGTGGCCGGACACCAAGTGGGTCGTACGGCCGGTCGGTTAGTACAACGACCGGTCCGAACGGCCGGCATTACCGCACGCCCATAGGTGTGTTCGGTCGAACCGGCCGGACGCATGTTAAGTCGTCCGGTTCGGTCGGCCGGACACCACCGGTTGCATGACACTTTTCCGGTCGGACAGAAAAAAAAATACCTCTGAGCTGCTGGACATTGTGCGAATGAGAAGGGCAAAATCGTCAAAGGAAGACGGTGACTAGTAATAAGGGGGCGGTGAATAGCAACGCCCAATAATTTTTCAGCAATTGCTATTAAAATATGCAAAAAAAAAATATTTTTTAAGAATGGGAAAAAATATTTTTCACCCCATAACAAAGACACATGAAGTTTTTCACACCGCCAAATAAAAAGTTAAGTTTTTCACCCCACAAAGTGCGAAGGTTATGCGAAAACGGTCGCATATTCATCGCATAACTGTCCATATGCGAAGGTTATGCGAAAAACTGTCGCATAACTGTCGCATATCAATTGCATAACTGTCGCATATTCATCGCACAATTATGCAATTGATATGCGACAGTTATGCGACAGTTTTTCGCATATCCTTCGCATATGGACAGTTATGCGATGAATATGCGACAATTTTCGCATAACCTTCGCACTTTCTGGGTTGAAAAACTTAGCTTTTTATTGGGCGGTGTGAAAAACTTATCAAGACTTCAAAACGAGGTGAAAATAGATATTTTCACTTTAAGAATTCCTATTAGAATACTCAATTTTCATTTAATTGTTATCAATATTTCAAACCATTTGTTAAAAACTATTTTTGAATCATCGAAATTCCAACCTACTGGAATGTTGTTCGATGTATTGACAAACAATTTACAATAGCCGATTCCAACGAAACACTTTCACAGAATTTTCGGGTAATATTTTGAGTTGAATTTATTTGAATTACCGTTGAAATTCTATTGAAATATATTACTATTATAATTTTCATGGATTTTCTAGTGGTGTATGTGAAAAAAATTGTATATTTTTACATTCCAATATTATATTTTTGTTTATTGTTTATAAAATAAATAGGAAATTTTGAAGCACACATTTGTGTAGATATAAAAATACATATAATGTACCGCAAGTATCAGACAAGATTATGGAGCTCAACAGATGAAAGGTTCCAACAGTTGCAACAATACAACAATACTCGGAACAGATTCAAAATTATTTATACAAAAGACTACATCAAACTATAGAGTGCAAAATTTGCCAAAAATCGAGCAACTACAACAAACGCCAGATTCAAAGCTGACGAGACTCACCCAAATCAGCACCACACCTTTGCTCAGACAGGGCCCTTTTCGGGCCTTTCTTCTTTGTCGATCTAACTTCAGGGTTCGAACCACGAGAATTGGAATAGTCGGCCGACAGCCTAGGCCCACTGAGCTGAAGGTCCGTGTCGACTTCAGGACCAATCCATGATATGGGTTGAACTGCAGAAAATTAATAAAAATTGCATTAATGAGTATAATTTTATTGTCCATTGCAAATGGAACTGGAACAGTCATTGTTGACAATTCTCTTGGTATAGTGCTAATAATAGACTAGATCAAAATGGCTCAATTAGATTCTAGTGCTTCTTCTATTAGTGAAGTTTCTAGAAAAAAAAAATATATCAAACGACGCAATGCACCTTTGGTCGCTACGACAAAAGCCTCCTTGTATAATTACAAGGGTAAGGTCTGCGTACAACTGAACCCCCAGACCCAACCAGTTGGGAATATACTTGGGAATATACTGGGTATGTTGATGTTGATGTGTAAATGAGTATAATTTTAAAAACGAGAGAATAACTTACAACCATTAGTTTCTGCTCAACGGCATGATTGGTTGGCCAAGTTGTGGTCAAGGGAAGAAGGGTGATGATATAGGAAGGATCGATTTATAATATAAGTTCGTAAGAACGAAAAGATTTGAAAAAAGAGCTCAAATTCTCTGTTTGCTCGACAAAATTACATGAAATTCGATGAAACTTGCATAGAGATACATGTGTGTCGCTTCCAAGTCGTAGGATATTGAACTGGTTGAGAAAAACCGAGTAAAAATTAACTCCGGAATTAGAATCGTTCCTTTACCTTTTTCCTGATTCACAAACACACATGCAAGAACTTATTCACATTTTCAAAGTGACGTACATGAATTGATTTTCACTTTTGAGTTTATGTTCAAAATAAAATTTCTGAAATGATTTCAAAAATAAAGTATAATTTGAGGTTACCTTGTGAAATCCCATTAGCACCGGTATCATTATTTAGTGCATCTTGAGCAGGACGCTTTCGCAAGTAGTTGTCGCGCAAAGGTTTTGGGGTTTGGAAGGAAAATCGAGACAAGCTAACCCCTTCATTAATGTACTCTGGGTGCTCATTAAGGTACCTTTGAAAGAGAACATCATGAATTCCCAGAATAAAAATGTGAGAAAAACTACTGATACAGAATACATCATGAAGAGATAATTATACCTTTGAACTTCAACCATTGATCGGAGTTTCTTGCCCGATGGTGAAGCATAATACCTGTAAAAAGATTCATAAAAGACAAAAATAAATAAATAAATAAATGGACATCCTTGATAAAACAATTTAATGAGGAAAATTTGACAAATAAAAAGTTTTCCGAGAATAGATTATTTTCTCAGGTGTTCGCATGGCCTTGCAATTCATTTTGTCATCATAGTGTTTCTCTACCGAAACTCTCGCATGATACACTATTCATTCAATCGATTTTCTCAGCCAATCACAACTACACTTAAAAGAAAAAAAAAAATAAAAAAAAAAATTGTCACCCGCAATCCATTCATCTATTAACCAATTAATTAATGAGCCTAGGCATGATTCATCCCCAAAAGCCAGCTAAAACACGGAGAGAGTGACCAAATCCGCACTTACACAAAATAACATCCTACTAACTAATCGATATGAGACAAATATAACTTCTAACACCAATCATTCTATCATTTTCAGTATCACATTTGCATTCACTATTAATATTAAACACCATATGCATTTACACTTTCAGGATTTATGCTTTCCTTTCAAAATTTCTTCCCATCAACACACTAATAAAACAATTGTTTTTTTTTTTTTTTAATTTGAAAATTTCAAATGTAACCAATGCAACCTCAAAATCAACTTGGACAAACAACACATATATAGAAGACAAGTAAGCATAACCAGAATACATACACATCGGCAAATTTGGAGCCTCCTTCAGCTCTGATTCTCAGGAGTCGTTGCCAGCCTGGAGGTGGTTGAGCAATGTTCGGTTTGTCAATCGCCCAAAGCCGACTCCCATCTTGTGTTATATCAGGCGGGTCATCGCACGAAATCTCGGGTCGCCACTCGCGGCCCGTTTCACAAACAAAAGGCTGTTCAGTAATATGCTCTCTTATTTCCTCGTACTTCTCCTTTGTTGGGAGGACCCTCCACTTGAAACAGTTAGAGCATTGAACAGTAAAAGCCCCCACAGATGCAAACGGATTAGATCTTGAAGGCCGACGAACAATGGAGTCTCGAGAAGCACTAGTTTCAACAATTCCATTAGTACCATTTATACTGGGATCATAAACCACCAGCTGATACTTAGAAATTTCATTTTGCTCTTCATCTTCTGTGCAGTGATTTTCCCGTGTGTCTGTACAACTCAAATCCACTTCATCTTTGGAGTCCGTTGATGGGTTGTTCGGAAGATTAAAACTACTCGAAGCATCGGGTTCTCGGTCTACACTACTCGGATGGTCAACAGTTGGCGAAGAGTTGTTGTCAGATTTGTCAATCTTCAATTTGATGGTGAGTTTTAGTGATTGTGACTGCATCGTATTCAACTTTATCACCTAAATTCCACGAATAAGATCATTAATACATAAGCAGTGTTTTAAAAAGATGTCATGTGCCCTAATCCAGTCATTGGCAAATAAGTTATCCAACAAGGTCAACCTCAGGTTATCTACTGCTTCCTCTAGATACCTTTATAATCAATAATAAAAGGCCACCAACTTGACAAGAACTGAGATTAAACAGTTACTCAAGACGGCCCAAGAAAGCATAAATTTATGCTCGATTGGTCATGATCTTCCAAAGTATCAACATGTCTTTCGTCTCTCATTAAGATATGAACTTCAGGTTGCAACACACCCACACACACAAGGTGAGAGAGAGAGAGAGAGATTGTAGCAATTTACTAGAAAGTGAGCAACTTTAAGTGCAATAGCCAGGGACCTCATTCATGATATAACAACAAAAAAGAAAAATAGAGATAGAAAAAGTGCCCCAAATCTTTATAGACATTCACATGATTTTCGCTTAGTCAAAGATAGTTGCGAGCATGATAAAGCATCTTCCTTTCTGAAGAATATAAACTCTCGTGTGCATTGACGACACAAGGAAATTCAACCTTTTTCCAAAACCAAAATCAGAGTGAGCTTTGTTTACAATCAGAAACAAAATCAACCAGCGCATATGTTTTGCATACTGCAAGCCTATTATCAACTTCTTAGCCTAAAAATGTAATCTTTCTCGATAATGTCAGTTAGGGCCGGGTAAAACTGTATCCCTTAAAAGCCGTGACACACCTCTCGATGCATACGGTTCAGAAATTTGCAATTTTTTTACTAGCATTCTCTTCACGTAAAAAACTACTAGCACATGCATATGAAGATACTTTATAATCTATTCATTCAAATCGACTAGCACATGCATATGAAGATACTTTATAATCTATTCATTCAAATCGAAGAAGTTTATGAATTCCACACCATTTACACTCTATTAGAAGATCCTTAGATGCGCCACAGACACAGCCAGAGCTGCATAAGCCATAGAAACATAGAGAAACTAAACTTTCAACCAGACAGGAGTAAATTTGCAGCTTTCAGCTACCAGGAAAACAAAAAGGTCTGTAAATTTTGAATCTTTTACTTTGTTATCCCCAAAATACTATGTAAAGAGAGGTCCAAACAATCCAATCACCAAAACCCACGAACAGTTTGTTCAATAAAAGCCTAGAATTAAAAAGATATGCGGAAAATACAAAAATTAGCATTCCATAGCTAAGAACATTTATAAAACGTTAGCAATAAAAATCAAATCTTGGGACTGAAAGTGAAGATCAACCCACCAATTAAAGGAAAGATCAGCATATCTAAGCACAAGAAATTGTAATTTACGCAAAAAAAAAAAAAAAAAAAAAAAA